AGTATCATCTAGCCCCTAAAAAGGATACTCTTGAATAAGGACAAACTCTCTGGAAGACAGGAGTTATCAACTATACATCTGCCTGTCTGTACAACCAGATGGGTATCTAGGTGGTAGGCACAGGTGAGTTATTTTGCCACAACAAAGGCTAATCGCCACCTCAAGAATGATTCACCTGGCTTCCCTATTCAGTATTTAAATAAGGTCTCATTTGCAACACATCTTAAAAGAAGACGTTTTAATGCCATTTTCTCCTTTCAACGTATCACATCTTCAAAGAATTACTTGGAGCCACCTTTTCTCTCATGATTCCTTACCCTCCAATCCTCCTTTTTTGCCTTAAAAGAAATAGAACTTTCTATCACCTACAAAAACAGACACAGAACTAGTGAAACTAGGTTTTTACTGAAGGACACTAACTCAATTGACCCTGATTTGTTGTGCAGAGCTTCAGAACATTGTCCCAAAATGAGTAAGAACTGATCCTGGTGTGCTGATATGAACATCTATAAACAGATGAGAAGATGTAATTGTTGAGTTATATCAAGAGCTGAGGAAACAGGAGTTTCCATGTAATTACCACTGTTTCAATCTGAATTACCACTTCTCCTCAAAACAACTAAAGCCACTGTACAATTAACTTCCCATACTATAGAACATGTATCAAAGAAATAACAAAATCATATTAACTTTTAGCTACCTAATGCAATGCAATACCACTTACCCACAACTCCAGTAGCAAGTGGCCTCAACTGGCTTTCTAGGTTGCCCACCTTTCAGAAGTTTGTCCAAAAGCTCCCAAACCTTAAGAAACAAATCCACTAGTACCTTAGCTCCAAGACTCCAGATTCATTTAGATTTGCAGATTCTTTCCCCAGACACAATTAGTGGCCAACTAGGAGACAATGGTGTCTCCCTGTGTTCAAGTCTCCTCTACTCAGGAGGCAGAGATCAGGAGGATCATGGCTCAAAGCTAGCCCAGGCAAATAATTCTGTGAGACCCTATCTCTTAAAAACTCTTCACAAAAATAGGCTCAAGGCGAAGGCCCTGAGTTCAAGTCCCAGTACCCCCAAAAAAAAATTAGAAAAGAGCTACCGGTGTCCAAACTGGCTGATGAATTTTCAACCTAGAGTATATTTTTATACTTGAGTTATTGACTAGTGATAAACCACTGAAATGTAGATGAATAGTGTATAGATAAATAGCCCATCAGATAGAGCATTTTATGCCCAGCATTAGCATACAAAGTCAAGCCCAAATCTTTACCCTGGGCCAAAGCCATATAGGGAAGGAGGGTGTGTGTGTGTGTACGGTTTTGTGTGTGTGTACCACTCCAATTCTCCATTCCTTTGAGCAACTCTAGTAATGAGGGTGGAGTTTATTATTGCCTGATTCTAGCTATTCATTTTGTCATTTACTTGCTAACACTTTTTGTTTGCATTCAAGTTGGAATTCAATAATTCAATACCAGGTTCTACTGCATCCCATTTGTCACCCAAGATTACCTAGAAAGCTCTATTCAAGTTGGTTCTGACAATTCATCTACAGGTACTAGAACCTAAAGCAGGTGATATGTCCTCAATTTTGGACTACCATCTCTTCCAAACACTAAAAGGTTTTATTTAACATTTCTAAGACCAGGTTTACTACAAATAACCCAAGCAACATTAAGTCTCTCACCTGTCTGTCTCAAAAGATTGATTCAATCAAAGAACACACTAGTCATTATTGTGAGGTTTAAAAGAAGAAAAACGAGTAAGAATTTTCTGTTTTAGCCTACTGTTATGGCTTAAGGAGATCAAATCAAGAAGGCATCTCAAGTGACAATCTGGTCAAGGTGAAGCTGAACAGCAGCAGACTATCGGAGATGGATGTCCCTAACAGAAGGCAAAAATAGGTTACCTCCCTTGGTTACAAGCCAACCCAAAGACGCCAACACACTGGAAATGCGTCCCACAATGGTCATTGTCTAATGTAATCCACTGAGTGAGCTTTTAGCACCAACCTACATCTCAGCTCAGTGTTCTTAGTCATCAGGAAGGCCAGACAAGAGCAGAACAATTACAACATAAATTGTGCCTTCCCACAAAAAACAACTTGAAACTTAGATCTTGATGGTCACCATTATAGACCAACAGGGGCATATTATTAACATGTGCCCAATCCTTCAACCTTAAGTTCACACAGAGATGGAAGAGGCATATACCTTACTAGCACACATTCAGAATACCTTGCAACTTTATTTATTTTATTATCTTGGAGGGGAGTGGTACTAGGGTTTGAACTAAGGGCTTTGTGCTTGCAAAGTAGGTGCTTTACCGCTTAAACCATACCTTCAGTCCATTTGTTCTTGTTCTGCTGGAGATACAGGTCTCTATTTGCCCAGAGGCCTCGAACAGAGCTCCTCCCTGTCGTAGCCTCCCAAGGAGCTAGAATTACAGACATGAACCACCAGTGCCCGGCTCTTATTATGCAATTTTAAATAGCAGCCTACAAGACAAAATGCTTTAAGGAAAAAGGCGTGCCCTCAGTTGAACGTCCTGCTGATGATGTTTGGAGATATATCTAGCAGAAAAGACCAATCACTGCTACCTCTTCTCCCACTCAGAGAGGGTGGTTTTTGTATCTTCAAAAACATAAGTGATAAGACTCTCAAGAAGGGCAACAGAATTAATGAATGGAAAAGGATGTTGTGGTTCAAGCCTATATTCCTAGCTGCTGGGGAGGTGGAGTCTGAAAGAATCACGATTGGAGGCCAGCCCAGGCAAAAAGTTAGCAAGACCCCCAATCTCAACTAACTGTGGCATGATGGCACACTCCTGTAATCCCAGTTACAAGGTAAATATAAACAGGAGTACTGCAGTCCAGACCAGCCCGGGCAAAAAAACACAAGACTTTATTTGAAATACAACTAAAGCAAAAAAGGCTGGGAACATGGCTCAAGTGATAGAGCAAGGCTGAGTTCAAACCTAGTACCACCACAAAAGAAAAAAAAAAGGCTTCACTTCCTATGTCTTCCTCCTTGCTTTTAGATTTTTACACACCCACTTATCTGACCCTCTCTTTTCACCCTACCTTTCGTTCACTAAGCACTGGCTATTACTGTATTCCAGGCACCTATCCTCTCCCACCTTTCTTCCCAGTCCCTACAACCTGCCTAGCTCATAGTTCTACACTAGCTCTTTCCTGAACCTACAAGATTCCTCCCCTCATCTTTATATGGCTGGCTCCTTTTTATTTAAAGCTCAGCTTAAGTGCCACCTCTTCAAAAATGTCTCTCTTACCTGCATTCCAATCAGATACTTTCTGTCGCATCATTTATTTTCTTCATTCAGCTCTTAATTAAAATCAGATTTGTTTGCACAGCTGTCTCTGTCCCCACCTCCACTCCGATGTAAGCTCCATTAGAGAGTGGACCTTTTACTTGCATTCACCTTTGCACACCCAGTGCCTGCAACACTGGCCAGCACTTAGTAAGTAGCCAGTTGATAAATGTTTGTTGAATGAATTCTGGACTTTTTATTCTATAGCAAACTAGGCTCCAAATAAATTAAAGTGAGACTAGTAGTCATTCTATTGTTATATTTCTGTGAAACACATAAACACAGTTACTTGTACAATCAAGGCATTAAATACTCTACTTTTTGTTTTGTTTTGGCAACACTGGAGTTCGAACTCAGGGCCTCACACTTGCTCAGCAAGCACTCTTACCACTTGAGCCATTCATTCCACCAGCCTAAATATTCTGTTTTACCAGGCCTGAAAGCTCTGATAAATAGGATGGGACTCTCCAGCATCAGAACATCTTATGATAATTTTAATGTGTACCAAGCTCAGTTACAGAGGAACAGATTTATGCACACTTTCTAATCAAAGAAGCTCTAAAATTTAAGACAGTTTCAAATTCAACAAAGGACTTCTAAAAATTTTATCAACACCCAAATGAGAACTATACTTCAAGCTGACATCCCTAAAATAGGCCAGAAGGAGCACTACTTGGTTTTCTTTTTGTTTGTTAAACAACAGAATAACAACAAACAGACCTTTTTTCCAACCATCCTTTGCTTTCTTCAAACATTTTCATACCCATTATTGGCTCGTACTCATCTTTAAAAACAAAACAGATCACATTGCCTCATTTAAAACCACCTATACACAAAGTACCAACTAAAAAAAGATGAAAATCAGCACAAGTCGGTTCTGTCAACTGAAGACACGTGTGCCAGACACACAAATGGAGAAAAAGATAAAAGAGCTATTGTCCAATTGTAGAAACAAAAGAGTAATATGGGGTTGTCTGTTCTCTAAAGTGCATCATGAAGTGTGGGTGGAGAGAAATCCAGAAATCCAGAATTAATCTAACATCAAATCATTTTGGAAAGAGTTGACAACATGTAAATTCCTCACACATAAAGTATTTAGAGCGAGACCTTGATTCCAGGGCTATGATGCCATTTATGATTCTTTGCAAGGGCTCTGGAATTCCAGTATTCATTTAAAAAAATGCTCATTATAGTCAGAGCTAGGAGGCGTAGAGAGGTACTCCCAATGTGACACAGCCTGTAACTGAAGTATTACAAAGCTTGCAGTTATGATCTGGGATAGAGGCTTAACACCACACTCAAAAGAGGTAACCAAGGTACTAAGTGCCATAAAGGGGGTGGGAAAGAGGCGAGGGGGAAACACCACGAGTGCCACTCAACTACAGAGAATTAAAGTGGAAACAGGGGTGTGTATGGAGAAAGATGAGATGGGGGTGGGGGTGGAAAAAACAATACATATGTCACCCGTCCCACTTCCTATACAGGATATAGGCAAAGCCTTCAGCCCATTACCTCAGGCACAGATGGTTATCGTTTATAAGCAAAGGTGCGTAGAAAGGCCTTCAAGTCTGAGTCCCTTAATTCCAGGGCTGTTAACAATTAAGGGATGGAGGTGGGGAGGGAAATGGAGATTCACCCACCACCTCCCCCTTGGGTTCCTACCTCACAGCATTTACCTGGGACTTTAGGACCAGAGTCTGCACCCCCTCCGGGTCAGCTCCGGCTCCAGATCCCCAGGCCAGAGTTGAGAGGTGCTGATGGTGGGGAGGCAGGGACTGTAGGTAAGTTTTCTGAGCCCTGCGGCTGACACGCCACACACAGGCTCCCCTCACAGCCTCTTCTTTCCGAGGGGCCAGTCCAGACAAGGCGCTGACTTCCACTTCTCCCCTTTCACTCCCCCCCCGCTTTCTAGAAGAAACCGAACCCCCGCCCCTCCATCTCTTAATGCTCCCACTTTACCTCAACTACCCCCTCCCCAAACTCACAGCTGCTCCAGAGGTTCCTCCAGTCAAACCCTTTCTGGAAACGACGGCGGCTCGGCGGATCCAAACCACCTACCATCCCCGCTCGCGTTTCCAGGATCCCTACCCGCCGCCGCCGCCTCTTTTTCCACCACTGCCGCCGCCTCCTCTTCATCTGCGGCCCACCGGCCGCGGCCGTCCCGAGGCTCCGCCCCCTCCATCGCCTCCTGCATCATCACTTCCGGTAACCCCGCCGGCCGCTGGTTCCAGGAGGGAAAATGGGAGAGGGGCGGAGAGGGAACGGGTGGACGATTACGTCACGACGTACGCAAATACGTAGGAAGCCATCGCCAAGTAAGAGCAAAGACGTAGTCACGGGAAGGATGGGCCAAAAGGAGCTGGACTGGACTGGACCATTTTTTAACAGAAATTGGGGAGGAGGATAACGAAAGGAGTAAGGGGGAAACAGGGAGAGGACGAAGTTGACTATGTTGTTGGATGAGACTGAAGATAGGATAGAGATATACGGTTGTGGGGGGTAGAAACCAGTCCTGACCTGGAACTAATGCTTTCTTAAGAGGTCCGCCCGGTGGTTTGGTCCGGCCTGGCCTACGAGACCTGCCCGAGCTCGGTCGGCCACCGCTAAGCGAAACTCCTGGCGCAGCCTCTTCCCAGTCCGCCTGGGCTGTGGCACTTCTGTGGGTGGGGGAAGGCAGGACTGACGCAAAGTGAGTGTAAGGGATTGAGACGCTGACTCCTAGAGCCGGAGCCTGGGGGAAGGGGTTGGCTCCCTAGGGGCAGGAAGGTGTGCGGGTGCGGCGTTGCTAGGAAACGCTCCTGTGTGACCCCAGCCTCGTGAGGGCGGTTGGATGTCATCGCCACTGGCCTCGAGGGCCTGCCTCAGGAAAGTGGCCTGTGGGCCTGGAAGGGGAGGCCTGTTTTGGGGCTCTCATAAAACTCCTCTGAACCTATTGGATCCCCGAGTGTAAATGGGAGATGATAGGAGCAGTTCCGGGGCGGCAGGTGTCTAGCTTGGGAAGGTCGACCAGAACTAGTCCGCGTGTAGGAACAGAGATTTTTTTTTGGGACAGTGAGACCTGTTTCATAATTCCCTCGATCAACAAACGAGAACTAGACCGCATCCTTGCTCCCGATTTTTTTTTCCCTAGTTCAGGAAAGAGTTAATAAGTAAATCAGTAAAGAGATCAGCCCCCGCAGGTTTGGTGAAGTGATAAGAGATGGGGGAGGTCACTCTAAATTGTGTGAGGTTGTTCAGATGAGGCCACGGTTTGGAAGGAATCCGAGAATAGGAGGAAAAGAGCCAGTGGGAAGGGTTTTAAGGTAGGAAGCCATGTGGTTGAAACAGAAAGAGGCTGAGTACGCCCTGTGATGAAGTTGGGAGAAGTGATAGGAAAGGTTTGGCTTTTGTGTTACCTAAGAATTTTTAAGAAGAGTAGTGACCAGACCTAATTACCTTTTGAAAATCATTCACCCCACTGAATAGAGAAGGGAGTCTGAGCTGTTAGGCTGTTGCTGGCGGGTAAGGGAGAGGTGACAGTGGTGTTGAAAGGATAGTCACTATGGAAGTGAATTATATTTTGGAGCTTGAGCTTACAGGACTTACTGCCAAATTGGATGTGAAGTATGTGGGAAAGGGTGGAATCAAGGATGACTCCCTAAGGGAAAACTGTTTGGAAAGGAATATTTTAAGCTGTCTTTTGAAGGCTACAAACAATCCAAATGAAGATGACCAGAGGTTAGATATACAAATTAGGGAAATGTCATGCTTGGAAATAGTAAATGTGGTGTCTAGTCCTAGATCACCTAAGAAGAATGTGTACACAAAAAAGGAAGGTTCCCAAGTTCTTAAAGCTCCTTAAGGTTTAGAGACTACCCAGAGATGGAGAAGCTGACAAAGGAAACTCTTGACATGGACAAGGCCTCCAAGATAAAAGGAGGAGATCCCCTTAATATCCTGTAATAATGGGACCCACCATCGTAATCAGTGAGACTCATCCTCAAAAGCCTGACTCAAATCTCCCTTCTCTCCTAGCTGTCATTGGTTTTGGACTTGCTCACAAGTAATTTGTGTCCATTATGGAAAATCTGATTTCTTTCATAAATGTTTACCTACATGTCTTTCTCATGACTTTTTTTTTTTTTTTTTTTGTACTTCCTGGCTTCTAGTACAGAGCTTTGGTCTTAAGGTCATAACATCTGGTTATGTCTTTTGGTCTTAACATCTGGTTTCAGCTGAGCAGAGGCACAGTACATAAGGAATCAGCTATGATATTTAATAGCCTCTGACGAAGCAGGTTTTGTCCCTGCTACTGCTGCTGATGCCATCACAATTCTGGTCAATCTTACAATATAGTAGAAAGGGTATCAAGAAGAATCAAGGCCTAAGTTTCAATCTTGGGGTCTGCTACTGACCAACAGAGTGGCATTAGATAAGGCCCTTCTCTTTGGGCTGAAGGATTGGCCCGGGTTTGCAGTTGCAAACTAGCAAGACAAATGGTATCTGCAAACATGTTGCTTGGCCATAAAGTGATTTAAATTATTTCTTAAAATTTGCTTGCCAATATTTAAAAATTGCACATCAAAATCCTTATCAGATTATCTGACAACACCAACCTGATATTCCTAGAGATTCCTACACAGCAGCAGTCAGCTGGAGCTAAAGGGTTACTTGCTGTTTTGTATGTGGTTTATGCCCCAAGTGTGTCAACAGCTTCTCCCTTCCATTACCAGGCTCACCCCTGTGGATGTTCTTGGTTTAGAGCTATGCTGTCCATATGTAGCCACTAGTCACATGTGACTACTTAAATAACAATTCACTCATAATAGCTACATGTGGCCAGTGTCTACCCTATTGAATAGAACAGATAGTTCTATCATAGAAAGTTCTGTTGGTCAGTGCTGGACTGAAAGAACTTGAGGTTACTCTGAGCTCTCATTCTCTACATGTGAAAATGGACAATCCTTGCTCCTACTCTCAGAGACTCAGAGACTTAATCTAGTCAGGAGCTCTGGTGGTTCTATAGATAAGAAAAGTTTCTCATTTGATAGTTGGATAGTACTTAGAAAATGTACTGAAGACACGGTCCCCTGTGCATAGTGCTGTTATCTGTGGAATAGTTGGATCTAGTGTCAGATGCTAGAAAGCTCCAGCTTTATCAAATGTATACAAAGCTCTTTCACAGTTTCCTAATCTAGTTTCTTAGAAGATTATCAAAAGCAGGAATTAGTATTTTGGCTGCCTAATTTCCTTAGTTGCTATAAGGTTGAAGATCCTAGCTGGAGTATTATGAATAACTGGTTGATCACTAGCAGCTGCCTGTTTCCATCCCTTCCCATTCGTCTCTTATACTGCCTACTTATGGTAACTTGGTTCTCACTACCTCTGACTGACCTACATCTTGTCTTTGTCTCTTAAATTATGCTAACAGGGAAAGTTTTCCATTTCTTTGAATTGAGGAACAGCAACTTAATTTCTTTCTAAGTGGAAAATGACTGTATATCTATTGGTTGATATATCTTGGTTATGGTCTGATATGTGTTCCCCTCCACTAATATAACCTTGTGTGTGCTCCAGTGTTAGTATAAACACAGATGGGTTCCAACTTAATATTTTTACTTGTGATTTGACTTTCCAAGGATGTAAAAAGGATACATTTCTCTAGAAACCTTTTTGATTTTGATATTTTCCTGACCTGGGACTATGTGGTACGATATTCACAATGCTGGGCAGTGAAAGCAAGAAACAGCTTCCAGTCATCTATAAGAGTGAACAACCAAGACTTTATTGCTAAACTATTATGTTTGGTAGGTTAGTGTATTAAATGCATTTTCCAGTTTAGATATTTTCAACTTTCATGGTATAGCTTCGGCAAGCAAGTGCGAGGCCCTGAGTTCAAACCCTAGTACCACCAAAAAAAAAAAAAAAAGAGAAAAATTATGTGATTATCAGGACCTAATTACAAGCCAAAGCACATCTGTAGTTAGAATGGATATATTTACCTCTTAGGATCTTGTTTGGAATAGTTTCTTTAGAAGTCTTTCAAATAGCAATAGTTGGTTTTTCCCCTTGTTCTAAAAATTTCCCATATTATAGGGTCTAACCTGATTTCATTAACCATAGGTAAAATAAAAGTACTGTCTATCCTTTCCTCCCTGCTCCCATTTCTGGCAGCCCATATTCTTGTCACTTTCTGTGTAAAAGATGCTGTTTCAGAGAATAGTATGATATGATTAAGTACATCCCATAAACATATTATGAGATTTGCAAAACTGTGTGTCATTATACTTCCCTTTTTAGATTCTAATAACCAAAAACTGAACCCAGGACAGAAATGAACTCCATGGGTATGTGGGTGTGCGTGGGGGTGCTGTGTGTGTGCGTGGGTGTGCATGCGTATGCGCGTGTGTGTGTGTGCGCGTGTGCGTGTTTTGATGGAGGGAGAAGAGGATAAGGGACGAGTGATGTGTGGGGTACAGTTTCACTTGAAGGTTACTCAGTTACAGTGACAATATTTATGCCAAATATAATACAAATACTGTATTATATACCAGTAATATGCCAAAAATAGGGATTATAACAAATCTAGGAGAAAAGCATACCAAAAAATAAACAAGCAATCAGAAATAAAAAAAAGAAAAAATAGGAAGGAAAGCCTGGTCATGCCTTTGGTGCTACCTGAATTATATTTCCAGTAAAGTATATGCTGTGGTCTGAAGATAGCAGTGGTTTTAACAGGGTTACTTACTGAAGAACAATAGCCCTTTACTGTATAAAGATTATTAATGATCAGAGGGAAACAGCTTTAGGAAAATCCATTTTTACCACAAAGCCAAAAAATTCACCAACAGGCAATTCACTTTTCCCTTCTCTGCAGACAAAGGTTAGCAAAAAATAAAAAGAAACCTCACTGTTCCTTTATTCCTCTTACTCACGGTAACATGCCTTTAACCCCTGTACTAAGTGTTTCA